TTATGTTTTTCCCCTATCAATATCTCTACTATTTTTGAAACCTGATAGCTACATTGTCTTCTGTGACCCTTTTCTTCTCTAACCTCCATGCTACTGTTCTTTCTTCATTGTCCCCTAGTGCTGGGAGTTAAACTACCAGAGAAGAACCCTGCTCCTGAGCCGGAGCCACGCCTCCAGCCCTGCCCCCACGCCTCCAGCCCTGCCCCCTTTATTCCAACAGCTCTATATTCTTCCCGCTTCAGAGGTGCTTCTTCTCTCAAGACTCTGAGATCAACGATGCAGACTCTCTACTCAGGCTCAGCCTTGCTTCCTTCCATCTTTTATCTTCTTCCCTAAAGATCCATCTATTCCCAAGGCACCAGTAAGAAGCGAAAATATCCAACAGCTTAAGATAAGATAACCGTTTACAAGGTGCCTTTATATGCTTTATTTATCCTCATCTTAGCGTGTGAAGATCTCCAATGTCTATAACTAGTTCCACAGAATCATGTTATTTGTTTGTTTGCTTGTTCTTGAGACTGGGTCTCACTATGTGTCCTTGGTTGGTCTCGAACTTAAGATGTAGACCAGGTTGGCCTTGAACTCATAGAGCTCTGCTGCTTCATCTTCCGGAGATTGGGGTTAAAGGTGCACACCATAACACTTGTAATTTTTTTTTTAAGATTGCTATTCTTGAGTGAGGTAACCAAGACCCAGAAAGACAAATACCAGATTGGCTCACTCATAAGTGGTTTTTAGACATAAAGCAAAGAAAACCAGCCTACAATTCACAATCCCAGAGAACCTAGACAACAAAGAGGACTCTAAGAGAGACATTCATGGATCTAATCTACATGGGAAGTAGAAAAAGACAAGATCTCCTGAGTTAATTGGGAGTGTGGGGAATCACAGGAGAGAAAGGGGAATGGGGAGGAAGGCAGGGGAGTGGGGAAAAATATATAGCTCAATAAAAACAAACAAAAAGATTGCAATTCTTGCCAGAACTCAGGAGGCAGAGGCAGGTGGATTTCTATGAATTCTAGGCCTGCCTGGTCTGAGTTCCCGAACAGCCACATCAGGGCTAGACCCTACAAAACAAACAAACAAACACTTAACAACTAAAATTGCTATTCTTAAAAGTCATATCTGCTGTTTTCTCAAGTTAAGTCTCTCTCTCTCTCTCTCTCTCTCTCTCTCTCTCTCTCTCTCTTTCATTCTTTAGAGACAGGGTCTCACTCTGTAGGCTTGTCTGGCCTCGAACTTTTAGAGATTTGCCTGCCTGTGCCTCCTAAACACTGGGGTCAAAGGCCTGTGCCTGAACCACCACACCCAGCAATTTCAACGATTTTTTTTACTTTATGGGACTCCTCACTTCCCTAGACTTCCTTCCTAGCACTTCCAACGCCGCCTTTCTGTGGCATTAGACTATAAAGACCGCGCTGCACGAGGATTTCTGTTTTGCGAGAAAGGATGTCTAGCCCATATCGGCCTATAACTCACGTTACTTATGTCTCCCTTCTCCTCTCTGATGCGGGAACTACAGGCACGCACCCATTCTTGACCTGCTGTCGGTTTCTTGACGCTGTCCCTTTTCTCCTGTAACTGTCATCTAGGCTCTTATTCTCTGTACAGCTGCAGTTTTCCTATCCTGGCCTTCTTCCTGTTAGTGCTTTTCTTATAAAACCAATCTTGTTTCCTCTGTAAAAATAAAATAATCTAGAAATGTTGTTTATTGATTTATTTATTATTGTGTGTATGATGGCAGGAACTCACGCCATGACACATGTATGGTGGTCCGGGGACAGTGTTGTGGGGTCAGTTCTCCCCTTCCGCCTTTATATACGCTTCAGGGAGCAGACTGATGCCATCAGGCTTATGCAGCAAGCACTTTTAGCTGATGAACCATTTTCTCAGCCACAGCAATGCTATTTGTATGGGAGCTAAGTTAAAAAAATTCTTCTGATAGTCAAAAACCCTTCCATATACTTTATATATTTTTCCATATCTAGCGTAATTATATTTTTCTCGTTGTTACTCAGATTTCCTTCTTCTGTTTATCTATATTCTTTCCTTCCTGTAAGACCCAATTTCAATCTTATCTTCCCCAGGAATCTTTTGACTTTTTTGGTCCTAACTGATTTTTTTTTTTTAAAGACAGGGTTTCTCTGTGTAGCTTTGCAGCCTGTCCTGGAACTCACTCTGTAGACCAGGCTGGCCTCGAACTCATGGAGATCTGCCTGTCTCTGCCTCCCAAGTGCTGGGATGAAGGGCGTGTAACACCTAACTAACAACTAGGCCGGCTAGTCCTAACCAATGTATGTCTTCTTTGACATACTACTATTTATCATCATATGGCCTACTATTATAGCACATTTAGACATATTTACATTGTCCTATGAATCATCTAAGTCAGGGATTGATTTATGAGCCAACTATAGGTTGCTATATAGGTACGGATGGTTTTCCTGGGGCTGAGAGATGGCTCAGGCTGAGAACATGGACGACACGTGCAGAGGACCAGAGTTTGGCTCCCGGAAGCCACATCAGGGCGGCTTACACCTACTTGTAAGTCCAGCTCCCGGCAAGTCAGTGCCCTCTCCTGGCCTCCATCAGCACCTGCACATACATGTATAGTGTCCCCTCCTCAGACACACACATACACATAATTAAAAGTAAAATAAATCAGAAGCTGGAGAGATGGCTCAGAGATTAAGAGCATTGGATGCTGTTCCAGAGGACCCAGGTTCAATTCCCAGCACCCACATAGTGGCTCATAACTGTTTATAACTCCAGTCCCAGAGGATCCAATACTCTCTTCTGGCTTCAGTGGGCTCCAGGCACACTCATGGTGCATGGACAAACACTTATACACATAAGCCGAAGTAAAAATAATTTAAAAAAAGAAATAAAATAGGGTTGGGAAGGTGAAGCAGTGGTTAAAAGCAGTGACGACTGTCCTTCTAGAGGACCTGGGTTCAATTTCAAGCAATCAAGTGGTGGCTTCCAACTATCTGTAACTCCAGTTCTAGGGGACCTGACACCCTCACACAGCCACACATGCATGCAAAACACCAATGCAGGTAAAATAAAAATAAATACATTATTTAAAAAAAATTAGTGCTGCCAGAGAGTGGTGGCAAACACCTTTAATCCCAGCACTTGAGCAGAGGCAGGCAGATCTCTGTGAGTTCGAGGCCAGCCTGGTCTACAAGAGCTAGCTCCAGGACAGTCAAGGTGGTTACACAGAGAAACCCTGTCTTGAAAAACAAAATAAATAAATAGATAACAAAATAAAGACCAGTGCTAGAGGGTTGGTTAAGAGCCCTTGCTATCTGGCAGAGGACCCAAGTTTAGTTCCCAGCACCCACATGTAGCTCCAGTTCTAATGCCCTCTGGCCTCCTTGGGCACTCTATTGTGTAGCTGTGGTTATTCTAGAATTCACTATGTAGCCCAGGTTGGCCTCGCACTCACAGGAATCCTCCTGCCTCTGCCTCCCAAGTGCTGGGATTAAAGGTGTGTGCATCATCACCATACCCAGCAAAATAAATCTTTAAGAAAGTTAAATAATTGAAAAAAAATCAAACCCTATAATTAGATCATTTATTCCCATCGCATGGTATTGTTAGCCTCTTTGGGAGTTTACCTTTAAAAAAAAACTTTTCACTAAAATTTATTTAATGTATTTGTGAGTATATGCCATGTTGTTACATATGTGCAAGTGTTTGCGGAGGCCAGAAGAGGGTTCCAGATTCTCTGGAGCTGGAGTTACAGACACTTGTGGGCCACTGGATGTGGTTCTAGGAACCGTACTTGGGTCCTCTGGAAGAGCAGAGGGTGCTCGTGACTGCTAAGCCATCTTTCCAGCTCTTCCACTAAAACTTAAAGAACTTTCTTAGCTCATGAAATTTATATAAGATTCAAACTTCATTGATCACAAATACATTTATATCAGCCACAGTCAAATCTGTTGGTTGACAACTATTTGTGTCTGTATTCACGCATAATAGGAGAAGGCTCACCAACAGTACCCATGTCCGTCAAGGCAAGAGCGTTTATTAATTTGATTGCTACCTGCAAAACAAGCTGATCCCTAACCTGGAGGCTGAATTCTCACTAGAATTTCTTCACAGCAGCTTAAGAATTGAGGTCTGTCTCACTGAAGACAACCCTTTCAAAGCTAATTAATTGTTCATTAGAAAGATTCCCGAGGTTGCATAAGGGGAGTAGGAGCTAGCCTAGTTAGAACTTTAGTAACCGAGGCAACCAGATTCCTAATAGAAACAGAACCAGAGGATCTCAGGTGGATCTTCTTTCCAGGGGAAATGTGTAACCACAGAGGCAAGCTAGTAAAAAAAAAAGACTATTTGAAGTCTTACTGGAATTCGGTTGTTGAGAAGAGGCCAAACCACTGGAATGGTTGAGACAAGCGCAGTTATGGTTTTAGCCGGCTGTGGAGGTATTATATTCTACCAAAGAATATATCTGTGAAAGTTAAAAGCATCTGGGTTTGGCTGACTGAAGTTGTAAGAGATTGTACAATGCCAACAAGTAACACAGGCGTGAAAATGTAAAGAATTTCCTTAAAGGGATGAAAACTATATAGACAAACACAGCTACGTTAACTAGAGTTACCAGAAGGTTCGTGCATTTACCTGTGTTCTGTTTATTTTCTTCCTCCCTGTTTATTCCCCTAAAATATATAGACAGCATATGGGATTCGAGAGATATTTCAAGAGCCTTTGCTGTTCTTGCACAGAGGACCAGAGTTCAGTTCCATCGGATACTACTTACTCCTTTTCTCTCCTTCACCTCTTTCCTACTTCGTTTTCTGTCTTCTCATCCCCCGACGGTCTCCCCCTCCTTCCCGCTCTCTCTGTCTTACCCTAGTTTGGAAATGCAGCAGATTTCTGAGTCTGCCACCACTGGGTTCTAGGAGCTGTCAGTCTGCGGTAGGCAGAGTTTCTATTGGTTGGGCTGGAGGCGGGGACCGGAGCTCACTATAAAAGATGGGGCCGGTCAAGGCGCGCGGAGCTGCTGACAGGACCTGGTCAGAAGGGGCCCCTTTAGCAGAGCTTCAGCCAGAGCGCCCAGGGCAGCACGAAGCAGCGGCTCGAGGCGCGCACTTACTCCTTCAAGCCCGCTAGGGCGCCTGCCCCGGAGCCCGGCAACTCTCGGCCACGGTCCCCGCATCCCCCGAGGACCCTTCGCCTCACCTGCGCCTGCCACGCCCCGTCCGGCCGCCGGGATGAGCGAGGTGAGCCCTGCCGCACCGGATAGGAGGCTGCGGCTCCAGGTCCCCGGGAGGCGAGGGGTACTCTCTGGGTGGACGCCACTGCCCCTCTAGGACAGCTCCCAATCTCCCGTCTTTCTGAAGCTACTGGAAAGAGGGTGCTTTTAGCCTACCAACTGTCGACAAATGCTTTGGAGAGGGGGTGACTGGAGTCAGCTGTAGGCGGGAACTGAGCTCTCAGGGTGATAAGCTGTCTCTTGGGGTGCTAGTCCTCTGCATCAATCTTATTGCTCTGAGGTTACCACGGATTTCCTTGCTGTCCTCACTTCGGTTCTGTCCAGCCTACCCCAGCATTGTGTTGTTCTCCATAAGCAGCAGCCAAGAGCTCCATCCCTGGCCCTTTTCACTCATTCAGTGAGGAACGTTGGGGTACCTGTACTGCCTCCCATGAGCATTGGGGTAGAAGCAAGTCCAATCCCTGGGGAGATGATCCCTTACAGAGTAGACCTCCATCTTCAGCGCCTGCTACATCTCGAAGTCTTCTGACAGGTTCTCTGATGTTCAACCAGAGCCAACCCAGTCCTTTTAATTGGTTGACTCATTTCAAAGAACACTGTCCATGGTAAGACTTTGAGAAGACCTGTCCTATTGTCTGACGTGATTTGTGGCACCCCGGGCACATCCTCATATTACGACGAGGACTATCGTCCCCGGGTGATGTTGGTTGGTATGAGCAGTAGCATCTCATGCTTTCCTTCTGTGCCCTCTTTCCTAGTGAGCATGTCCTTGTGTTCAATCTGTTTCTCAGGAATCCACTAGTCCCTTGTTCTGCTACTTACTCAGTGTGAGGCCTTAGGAGCATCACAGAATTTGTCTGTGCTTCTACTTTTTCTCTGTAAAACGAAGGTAATTCTGGTTGTTCTAAAAGATTAAATTATATGTGCAAAGAACTTTAAGCACTACCTGGCTCTGAATAGGCATTCAATCTGGAGTCTGGATTAGCTATTGTGGTGTGTGTGTGTGTGTGTGTGTGTGTGTGTGTGTGTGTTTCAAGTTAGCTGCAGAGACCAGCATAAGAATTCCCAAGATCGCTTGGTGATAGAGCACTGGCCTCTAGTATGAGTGAAGTTCTGGATTCAATCTCCAGTGAGAGGAGAGAGAAATGGGGGAGGGCAGAGAGAAAGAGAGAGAGAGATGCAGGAAGAGAGAGATATGGAGGGGAGAGCGAGAGAGGCAGAGAGAGAAACAGAGACACACACAGAGAGGCAGAGAGACAGAGAGACAGAGAGAATTCCCTGCAGCCTGGGCCCCGGTTTAGATAGGAAAGAAGAATATTTTCAGTATTTCTGCTGACTCCTACCAAAAGTTATCACCTAGGGTGTCAATTAGTGCCAGCTGCTATGTTGTCTTGGTTGCCATGTCCACGGAGTTTATCCTGGGAAATCCAGCGAGTCTGGTGGGCTGCAGAGGAAAGACAGTAGCTTCCACGTACCTCAGCTGGTTGTGACTGTGGCTGTGGCAATCTTGCAGAAAGAAAATAATCATAAAAATAAAAGGAGTGACTTTCTCTGGCTTTTTAGCTCTCCCAAGAGAAGAGGGTCCCCCCCCCGCCCCCCGCTTGCAACCAAGGTCTAGGGCTCAAACCACTCCTCCCACCATCGTGCCTCTAAATCTGACCATTTGAATCCAAGCCATCCCCCTTGGGAGTTTATCTGAGGCTCTGCTGACATGGACTGTGGTTAGTTTGTGCATATGAGAGACACATGGCCCCTGGGTAGGACAGGCGAAAGGGATCTTTAGGGGTGCAACAGTGGTGTTGGTACGGTAAGGAGAACAATCTGGTGTGTGCTCGGGGAAGTCATACCTTGGGGCCACTCTTAGACAGCAGCTGAATTTGGCTAGCCTTAATTAGGGACTCTGCAAGAAAAAAGTGGGATCCTTTGGTGCGGACTCTATATGTAAGACTTGCCCAGCCTCCTAAGCTGTCAGAGAAAAACGGTTCCAGCTAGCAATTTAGCCATCCAAGTTGCCTCCTACTGCAGAGAGAAGCCTTGCTTCAGGGATGATTATTTATAATATCCAGAGGCAGCCACCTGGGTGTACACAGAGACCAGCTGTTTTGAAATCAGAGCCCCAAGGGGGGATCTCTGTTTCCCCACAGTCTAAGAACCAGTCTGTTTTCTTCCTCTTGTTAAAAAAAAAAAAAAAAAAAAAAAAAAAACTCTGATAAAAGCGGAAGTGTTGCCCAGAGCTCTGGAGCTCTGGGGAGACTCCAAAGGGCTTTACTTCTCCTCCTTCAAGTTGATGTGCCCAGGCCAGGAAAGCCATGTACCCTGAATCTTATGTAAGTTTCACCTCCCCCACCTGCTTATTTCCTTGCTTCAGAGACACTGCACAAAATGGGAATTGGGGATGTCTTTAAGAGATTCACATTTCAACTGAGGAATTCCAACTAGAGGTGACGGTGGTGGGGTGGGGACTCTTGACCAGGGCGACTGAAAGTGTGAGGGTCCTGGTAGAGCTGCTGAGCAGGACTGCTCGCTCTGTTTTCCCTTGGTGGCTCTTTGCTGTCACTCAGTACTGCAGCAGAGCGTTTCCCTGTGTCTCCACGCTCCTGTGCTGAGGAGCTGCGGGGACCATCGCCAGCTTGTCTGTGTTCACAGCTGGAGGCAGGACTTGATTGCTGTGAATCATAGTCTGTCTCCTGTCGTTTAATAACTTTCCCCTGGTTCCTGTGAAGCTTGGCTATAGGAAATCCATCAGTCCCCGGGGCTCTTTCCTCTAATCCCTTTTTATGCAGCATAACTGGCTGCAGGGAGCAGAACTGCAGGATTTTGCATGTTGCAGTTTCTCATCTGTGAGAAACTTAACTGGAAGAATCCTCTGGTCCAGCAGTCACTCTCCTGAAATGGGAGCCACGGCTTCTGGTGACAATCCCCCACAGTTTCTCGCCTGAGTTTTAGCTGGCAGGGGACTGAACAAGGGACAGATCCTCTAGATCATTAGGAGAGAACTTGTGTTCTTACCTAACGGAAACAGATATTGCTCCTTAGGGATTGCCTCACGCTCATCCCACCCCTGGCCGTGTACATCTTCACCCGCAACCTTCCTCACAAAGGGCATCAATTAGAGCATCTTCTGTGAGCCAATTGTTAGGGAGCCTGCCATCCAAGTTTCTCTCTCTCTCTCTCTCTCTCTCTCTCTCTCTCTCTCTCTCTCTCTCTCTCTCTCTCATTGATGGTTTATTATTACTATGGTTAAGTTGAACAAACAACATAGGACTGGCTACTGTTATTAGAATTTTTTTTTAAATCTCTGGAAATCTGTATTTCAAAACAGGGAAACTAGAATTTGGTTCACAACTTTGTTCGTCCTTTTTTTGCTCACCCATTTAGGTTGCCGGCTTTAGCGGCTTGAAAAAGAATTTCTGGTGGTAAGGAGTTGAAGGTTTTCTCATCTTGTGATGGGGGGGGGGGCAGACGTCTAAAGATACTCATTCTCCCAAATGGCAGCTGCCATCTCACAGAATGTCAAGTTTCTGTGGGGCCTGTGACCATGAGGGGTGTGGCGGGTGTGTCTGAAGCATCTCCCCTGCCCATCTGTGGGGGGTCCTAACAATGGACATATACAGACTGTAATCCTGGCTAAGGGGAAGAAGATAAACCAACAGCTCTCTTTTCAAACTGTTGATTCTGTGGATGCTTACTGATTTTTTTTATGTTCTACTTTTCTAAATTTCTAAGTCATTTTTTGTAAGTCGAGTTCATCATAGAAAAATGAAACTTTGTTTTGCAAAAATTCTTCAAGGTAGAAAGTCGGGTATATCTTCTACAGGATAACCCCAAAATGAAATATCTAGACGGTATAGTGCCAGAGTTTTAGATTTGCTGAAGAGCTCTGAAGATCATCTGGCCCGATCTTCTTATTTTACAGGTGAAGAACCTGAGCCCAAATCTCATTGAGTTTGTGCGGTACTAAAAGGCTCGGGCACATTACTGCTGCTGCCTCTTTCCAAATGAATTTTCTTCGGGACTCTTTTAACTGGTTACTCTGTTGAATCTGGAGGAATCTGATTCACATGCAGAGTTTTAAAAAGTACAGCACTGGAGATGGAGTTTAGAGAAAATACTTTATTACTAAGCTATCTTTTCCCGTTAAATTTTCATTTTTAATTTATTAATTTATTTATGGAGGCATATACTTGTACCTTGAGCTCCTCACATAATGGCCTCTACCTCCCAAATGGTGAGATTACAGGCATTCATCATCATGCCCAGCCCCTTTTGTATGTTACTTTGGGACAGGCTCATATTAGGTTGCCAATCCTTGCCTTAATCTTGCAATTCTACTTTTGCTCCCTCACTTCCCTTGGTGTCTGACACAGGATCCCACTATGTAGCTCAGGCTGGTCTGGAACTTTCTAACCTCTCTGACTCCCAAGTATTGAGACTGCAGGTATGTGTCACCCTGCCAACCTATAGTGTAGTGTTCTCTCTCTCTCTCTCTCCCTCTCTCTCTCTTTCTGAGACAAGGTCTAGTGTAGCCCAGGCTGGCCTCAAACTCCACGTGTGATCAAAGATGACCTTGAACTTCTGATCCTCCAGCTTCCACCTCCCTAGTACTGAGATTATGAGGATACACCACTAAGTCAGATTTTATGCAGCCTTGGGATAAAACCCAGGGCTGTAACTTCTTCGCTTCTGAGACAGGTTTTTTTTTTTTTTGTGTGTGTGTGTGTGTATGTGTGTGTGTGTGTGTGTGTAACAGCTCCAGCTGTCCTGAAACTTGATCTGTAGACCAGGCTAGCCTTGAACTCACAGAGATCTTCCTGCTTCTGCCTTCCCAGTGCTGGGACCAGAGGTGTACATCACCACCACCGGGCTTAATTTCTAATGAATATATTATAGATATTTTATAAGCAACAGAAACAGTGTGATTGAATAAGGGCTGAGAAAGAAGATAGAAAGATGTTTTAGACCCACAAGACCTCCATATTTATCAATAGGGTATTTTGGTAGAACACTAGATGTCTTAGTCACTGTTGCTGTAATGATACTCTGGCCGAGGCAACTTCTATAAGAGAAAACATTTAATTGGGGTCTGACTTACAGTTTCAGAGGTTTAGTTCATTATCATCACGGCAGAGAGCATGGTGACAGACAGGTAGGTGATAGAGCAGTAACTGAGAGCTATATTCCTATCCATAAACACACACACACACACACACACACACACACACACACACACACACGGGCAGAGAAAGAGAGAGCGCCATGCTGGGCCTATTGTAAGCTTTTTGAAACCTCAAAGCCCACCCCCAGTGACATCCTTCCTCCAGCTTGGCCACACCTCCTGATCCCTCCCCCAGCAGTGCCACACTGTGGTGAGGCTTTCTTTTCTCAGCAGGAGGATGGTTAGTTTGAGCCCCCTGGGCTCAGCGCTGGTCTCAGGTCTGAGGGGAGATCCTTCATCAGAACATTAATGAATAAACCAACAAAGACTAAGGCTGTGGCTCGGGTGGTGGATTGCTTGCCTAACATGGACAAAACCCTCCGTTTTCTCTCCAGTACTGCATAAAATAGGATCCTGTAATCCTAGCACTCCCAAGTTAGAGGCAGGGTGATCCGAAGTTGGAAAAGATCCTCCCCAGGTAGTGAGCTTGAGACCTGGCTGTGTTACATGAGAATTTATGGATACAGAGAGGAAAGAATATGAAAATGAGAAAGAGTAAACAAAACATCAAATGTTCCCTCCCCTTTTTTTTGCACAAAATCTGAATTCCTTCAAAGTTCCTTTAAATAAACGCGTAGAAGCCTAGACTCTGCGGTTAGGTGTGGTGGTGTGTACCTATAATCCTAGTACTTAGGAGGCGATAGATAGCAAGATCAGCAGTTCAGTACATACAGAGTTCAAAATCAGCCTGAGCTACATGAGACCCTGGCTCAAGGCACAGAAACAACACCAAAACCTAAAACAGCGACAAAAGCAAGACAATGGATTTAGACCTTGTGATCTTCTCACTGATCAGGCTTACCCAAGCCTCGTTCCCTCCCTTCCTCACTTCCTTCTTCCCTTCCTTCCTGCATTGCTAACCCAGGCTGGCCCGGGCTTATTGGCTCAGACTAGCCTCAAACTCAGAGATGCTCCTGGCTCAGCCTCCTGACTACTGAGCTTACAGGGGTGAGCGACCACAGGAGTGAGCACCAACTCAGCGGCTTGATTTCTGCTTCCCACTGGGTGAGCCCTGAAGGCTTTCTCACCTGGTTCCCAACCTCCACCCAGGGGAAGCGGTGCCATTTACCCTTCTATTGTGCTCAGTGCTGCCTCCCTCCCACACAAAGCCCTCCAGCTGAGTGTTTGCTTTGTAGGCTGTGGGGGGGGGATTAATACGGTTATTTTAGAACGTTAACACCATGGGTGGGATGCACGTTGAAGATTATAGTAATAAATGAAGCTTTGGCGGTACCTTCTCTCTCTCTCTCTCTCCCCCATCCCCTAGTCCTCAGTATGGGGTAAAGGCACAGCGCCAAGCTGTGTGCAGAGTGCCACAAATAACCACTTATTAAACCGTGGCAGTCCGGGCTGGGAGGAATGGGCAGGGGCTGTTGATTCACTGCATACCATGATTTGGCATGGGCAGGGAATTCTGCCCCTGACTCTAGTGGGGGGTACTGCTATTCCAGGAAACAGTGGGGTGGTTGAGGGGAGAGGTACAAACCAGGGGACTATTCCAGGAAACAGGGTGGGGTGGCTAAAGGGAGAGGGACAAACAAGGGGACTGGGGCTGTTTAGGGTAAAAGGCGTCTGAGATACCAGGCGCCTGGCCTACATTTTCTGTATGAGGAGAGGAATGTGCATCTGTAGAAACTAGAGTACAGGTTCCCAGTTCTTTTTCTGTTATTATCTTGAGGGTGACCTTGAGCAAATCTTTCTAAAGCAGTCCGAGGACTGCAGCTGCTTGGTGCGCTGGAAGAGTTGAAACACTTCCAACAGTACTCCAAAAACAGCAGTCCGGGGTCGCGCCGGGGCACGGGATCCCAGCGGCTTCTGTCCGGGCCTGTAACCGTGACTTTCCTTTAACCCTGGTGGCGGACACTTTCAGCACTCGTAGACACACCCCCGTGGGTGGGGAGGAACAAAGTCTCTTACCACCGCCTGGAAAAAGATCCACTAACTCGTGCCCCCTTTAAAACATCCACTGATTTGTGCTCCCCTTTACTTCCTGAAAATGGAGTTGGCGAAGTCTCCGATTCACGACAATACAAAAACAAAAGGCGGGGCTCTTTTCAAGCTTATTATTTAGAATTTTTTTCCGGCTTTAAGTTCTTTTTGGGTTTCTCTGCCCTGGTCTACAGAGACAGAACTGTGGGTATCCGTGGCTGCTCGTCGAAGTTACGTGATTGTGTTTCCAGCTGCACAGCACCCAAGTCATGTCATGCAAATACAGGGTGCAGTTGGCCCGGGTACAATGGACTGATGCTCGCTTCTGAGGATTGCTGCTATTAACCCCACCGGCCGCGTTCCCGCTTTAAAGAGCCCCGGAGTTTACCCTTCCCCAAACTGGTTTAACATGCTGCTTGGAAAAGGGGTGTGTGTGTGTGGGGGGGTGACCCTGTCTTCCCCTTCTGGTGATAATGGTTGCTGTGGTAACACCACTAAAAGGGAAAGCGACAAAGGAAGAAAAGAAACAAGGGAAGGGGTCAGGGTGAGTTAGTTCTGTATAACACTGAGTTAAGCAGTACCTACTCCTCAATAGTGGCAGCTGGGGAGGAAGCTAAGCAAGACAATGCTGGCTCATATAATTATTTTTGGATTTTTTTTTTCCTTTTTGTGTTTTATTTCTTTTTTTAAAGACACAGTTTCATTATATAGTTCATGTTGGCTTTGAACTCATGATCTTCTTGACTCAGCCTTCCCAATGCTGAGATTACAGGCATGCTATACCATGCTTGAACACATTATCTTTTGGGTTTTTTGTTTGTTTGTTTTTGTTCTTGGGTTTTAATTTTTTTCCTTGGGGTGGGGTTGGGTGTCCCAGGAATTGGCAACCAGTGCCCTTTTTTTCTTCTTTTCTTTTTCTTTTCTCGTTTTCCTTTTCTTAATCAAGGTTCTCTCTATTATGTAGCTTTGGCTGTCCTGGAACGTACTATGTAGACCAGGCTGGCCTCGAACTCTCAGAGATATGCCTAACTCTAATGTGGGAGGTGATGTATGCTGTGAATGTGTTTTATTGCCGTTGGTTAATAAATAAGATGCTTTTGGCCAGTGGCTTAACAGAGTAAAGCCAGACTGAAAGAGATAGAGAGAGAAAGTAGGTGGAGTCAGAGAGAAGCCATGTAGCCCCCACTAGAAGAAAGAGATGAGCCTCCAGCTGGGAACTTTGCCTGTAGGCCATGACCTCGTGGTGATGCACAGATTAGTGGAGATGGGTTAGTTTAGGATATAAGAGCTAGCTAGAAATACGCTTAAGCTATTGGCTAAACAGTATTATTGCAAATAATAGAGTTTCTGTGTGATTATTTCGGTTCTGGGCAGCCGGGAATGAACAAGCAGCCTCCACGAACATAACTCTGCCTCCTGAATGCTGAGATTAAAAGCGTGCTCCGAGGCACCTGGCTGCAGCAAGACTCTTAACCACTGAGCAATCTCTCCAGCCTCCCCCCGCCTCCTTTAAGATTTATTTATTTTTATTTTTTTTAAACAAGAAGTTTATTTAAACAACAAGACACTTGACTTGAAGAGAAAACTATCTAGGATCATTTTGTTCAAGAGTAATTTATCCCTACTTAAAGACAGATTGCCCTACATGTAACAGCTACGTACAAAAAAGTTATAAAATTGTCCTTGGTTTTACAATGATAAATGAAAAAACATTAACATTCTCCAATCGAACAAGGTTTGCAAGGATTTTGTGGTTGGGTTCTTTTGTTAAAACATTGAGAGCAAAATAACTTACTGGAATATAAAGATAAGAGCTGATGAGCGAGCCACTGATGGAGCAGGGGGGTATGTTCACAGAACCAATACTTTCCCCCAGACCACCTCCATCTGCTGTCAGTCAAAACAGAACATTGGCCATTTTGTTTAAAAAAGAAGAAAAAAAAAAGGAAAGAAAAAAGCGCAATATGCTTGTGCACATACACCAGTTACTTTATGTACAATAAAGAAATGGGGACAGGGAAATGAAAGAATAGAGAAAACTATACTGTAGTAGTCAGGATGTGGTGGAACCAAATTGCGGCTAATTGCGAATGTATTCTTGGTCTATAACAAAATTCTGGAGTAAAGTAGCAGGTTCCCTGTTTAGTAGACACCTCCTGTCTGCTGCTGGAACACATCAATCGTATCTTCATCCTCCATTTCCAACTGTGCAGGTGTGTCTGTTTCATTGATTGGCTGCCCATCAAACCGGAATCTGTTCTGCCTCATTGACAAACACTGTCGTTCACAATAGGCTTTCATTAATTTACTAAGTGGTGTAGGCCTCTTAATTTTAAACTTCACCACAGAGCCATCCTGCCCCGCCACCTTCAAATTAATATGGTCGTTGTTCTCGGTCTTAACTCCTTCCTTGGGTTTCTCGTCGGCCATGGAGAACGCCGGAGTCTCCTCAGCTGCCGCTTCACAAAAGAGGCATCAGGTCGACACTGAAGGTGCGCACAGAAGAAGGAGGCGGCAGCGGCGGACGAGGCGGAGGGCGCGCGCACGCCGTGCGCTCCCTTTAAGATTTATTTTTATGTGTATATATATATATATATATATGCGTATGCAAGTGAACCATGAGCTTGCCTGGTGTCCAAGAAAGCCAAAAGAAGGCACTATACCCCCCCAGAAATGGAGTTGCCGGTGGTTGTGAGCCAGCATGTGGGTTCTGGGACTCAAACTTGGTCCTCTGTTTTAGCAGTAAGTATTCCTAACTACGGAGTCATCTCTCTAGTTCTAATAAGAAATTTTTAAAAATTTGTTTTAAAGCCTACTCTGTGGTGAATCATGCCTGCAGTCCCAGCACTTAAAAGGTTAAGGAGGATTGCCATGAGTTTGATATAAGCCAGGGCCACCTAGTGAATTCTAGGTCAGCTTCAGCCACACAGTGTAAGACCATGTTTCAAAAAAGCAACAAACCCTAAACCAAACAATGAAAAAAGTCTCTGAATACAAATTCTTTATCAGATATGGGATTTGTAAATATTTTCTTTCTGCCTGTAGCTTGCCCCTTTCCTCTCTTAGGAAAAATTCAGTTTATAATGTTTTTCTATGCGTTTTGCTTTTGTTATATCTAAGAAATTATTTTTAACCTAAAGTTGCAAAAACTTTCTCCCTATGCTTTATTTTAAAAATTTACACTTAATTGTAGCTACTGCGGTCTTGTTGAGGCAGGATTTCTTTCTTTTCTTCCTGTTTGTTTTTCCAAGACAGGGTTTCTCTATGGAACAGCCCTGGCTGTTCTGGAACTCACTCTGTGGACCAGGCTGGCCTCAAACTTGCAGAGATCCGCCTGCCTCTGCCTCCCGAGTGCTGGGATTAAATGCGAGCGCCACCACGCTTAGCTTTGAGACAGGATTTCTCTGTGCTGCCGGCAGCCCTGCAGTGCTGCGTAGACCGTGATCTTAAACTTGCCTCAGTCTTCCTGGCTCGGCTTCTTCAAAGTTTAGGTCCCGTGTCTGTTTGTAGGGCATTTCTGGAAGGTGCAAATATAGTTTGAGGTGGGCTTCTTTGGTTTTTGCAAACGACTGTCCAATTGTTCCCTGACTGTTTGTTGGAAAGAAGATCCCTCCTCCCCTTCCTGTCCCAGCGTCTCCCCTTCTGCTCCTTGTCACTTGTATTCCATCATTTTCTCCTCTCCCTTAAGATCGCTTCCTCCCCTTCATGGTCCCCTTTCTATTTTCATCTTGCTCACCGCCCAAGACATACACACTCCCTCCCGTCTAGAGTCTGCGTGTGAAAGAAACCTGCTATTCATCTTTCTGAGTCTGGTTTATTTCTCTTACCATAATGATCTTCCCTATCCTTTTAATAGTATTGTTCCTCAGACCTTGATCCCAGGCCCACCCTGCTTCTTTTCATTCTAATGGTGCTCGGAAAAGGAATTCACATCAAAGCAGGGGAACAGGCAGGAGAGAAAGGGAGTGTTTATGTTTGAGAGTAAAAGGAACTGATTGTCCTGATTCCTAGAAGAGAGAGAGGGATGAGCTGGGAGCTCAGATGGGACCGGACATCATCTGGATGCTGACAAAAGTTCTGGGAAGGTAGAGATGGGCAAAGTATATGTTTTCCTCTACTGGAATTGGAAGAACTAAAAAGGGTAGAAAGCTTATAGGAGAGAAATACTAGAGAAAGAGAAGATTGGTCCTGATCTGCATCTTAAAGCCTAAAGAAAAAAGTTCCCTAACCCAGCAGGCCTTTCATCTTCTATGCCCCAGCCCCCATGGGAGGGGAGAGTCCACAACTTGGAGTTGCTGAGAAAACAAAAGGATGCTCATGGGAATTGGCACCTACTGCCAAGATGATGGAATGGAACATTGCTGGAATACATCAGGCCCAAAGGAGAGAGTGGCGGAGAGGAATATAAGAAGGTAGGCAAGGAAAGGAACTAGGGCTCTCTAGGGAAGGCAGGAGTTGATGGGCTTCACAGTTGCTAATTAGTGTCTGGTACTGAGGAGTGCGAAACAATTGGTCCTGTGTGGGCAATGACACCGAACTGAACCAAGCTCCGGGCTGGCTAGAACTGGAATAACGGTTTTGAATGTAAGCAAGGGAGTCATTTGCTGTGGAAAAGAGTGGGGTGATCTTGCACATGTAAGTCTCAGACTCACTCGGAAGGGCCAGGATCTGGCCCTGTGAGTGAAGAATGTGACTAGTCCCTGGAGGTCAGTTTGGTGTGTCAAGAGACCCACATTGCAAGCATGGCAGGGGGCAGGGGGAGGGGAGTAAGCTGGATGGTCAGGTCAGAGCAGGAACCTGAGTGGGTATGCATTGGACGTGGATGAAGTCCTCACAGGGCACGGAAGATGGCACCGTAAGGAGGAGGCAGGTTGCAGCTCCCCAGTGTTCCCTGTGGAGCAGATGTGAAGAAGGTGTTTCGGATGTGCAATTGAGAAGCTAGACTTTGGAGTCAGCTGCTTAACTGTGGGTATAGAATTAGGTCATGATTCCTGAGATCTTCCTTCCTGCCTGGGGATTGCTGTGCGGTATGGGATAATCTGAATGGTCAAGTTGTTCATTTTAAACTTCTTCCTCAAGTTCATGTGGGTGAAGGCATGTGTGCACACATATGCATACTTTAGCTGTCAAACTAGATGTCACATAACATAATGTTCAAGAGCCTGGACTTTAGTCGCATGGCGCACACCTTTAATCCCAGCACTCGGGGAGGAAGAGACAGGTGAATCTCTGTGAGTTCGAGGCCAGCGTGGTCTACAAATTGAGTTCCAGGAGATCCACAGAGCAAGCCAGAACTGTTACACAGAGAAACCCTGTCTTGAAAAAAAAAAAAAACAACAAACAAAACCAACCAACAAACAAAAAGGTTAGTAATATTATCTATGTGGTAATAATTAACAAGGTAAGGTAACATTCCCAAGTCCTTGATTTCTGTCAGCTCTCCTTGTTGGATCCTGTAAGAAGAATAAAGACTTTGCTAAACCATTTACCATTGCTATTTCTGACCAGAAAGCAGCAGAAGCTGAGAGGTTTGTGATCCACACCTGCCCGGAAGGAGGGGCTAAGAAGAGGCTGAGATGTGCAGATCTGTTGCGGCCCTTGAGTTGACATTGCTCCTTTGGAGAGAGAAGTGTTTGTAAGGGGTTTTCTCCTAGAGCCCTGGATGAACTTGCAATATGGAGTCTGATGCCTCCCATACATGTACCAGACCACCCTCATTCATCTAAAACCGATGACTTTCTAGAAAACAGCCCACAACACTGAAGTAGCGGATAGGGACCTGTGAGCAAGCCCAATACCATATAGAGGCTAGTCCAACTGGCCATACCCCCAACAAGTCACAAACAGCTAAATCTAGTAACGCAGTGCCCACAGCAGCTATTTTGAGCACTGGCCAGGAAGAATGGAGAGAGGAAGAGCAGGAAGAAGAGCCTCTAGCACTTTTCAGCTGATGGTGTGAGGGAGATTTCACGGGGCGCTGGGAGCAGTGGGGACCTTACTGTACCCCTTTCTGGCCTCCTCAGTGGAAACTCTTGATCGTAGGTTATGACCTTTCATAAATATAACCCGAATGGAGCTGGGAGCCCCTAGGGAGCCAGATCACAGCCACCGCTCTATTCCGAGGCCAGGGTAGGCTCAGGAAAGAGGAACGCCTAGGGAGCCAGATCACAGCCACCGCTCTATTCCGAGGCCAGGGTAGGCTCAGGAAAGAGGAACGCTGGCATAGTGAACGAACATGGCAGCCTGTGTGGTTCAGCCCTGACACATCTCTTGCTTAGAGAATTTGGCTCAAGATCAACCGACATGAGAAGGAAACAGTTTGTGTTAGTTACTTTTCTAGTGTTGTGGTAAAATGCCTCGACCAGGACAACTTATAGAAGAGTTTATTTGGGCTTATGTTTCCAGAGGGCTGGAGTCTGTGATAGCAGAGCGGAGGCCGTTGGCATTAGGGATTGAACACTGAGAGCAGGGGCTGAGGGCTCTTGGTTTAAATCAGGAGCACAATGTAGGGAGAACAAACTAGAAAACAGTGTTACGTCTTTAAACTCACAATCAGCCTGCCTCCAGTTACATCCTAACCTCAACAAGCCCGCACTTCTTGAGTCTCACCAGCGTCACCATCTGTAACTGTATGGTTTGAATGAGAATGGCCTCCACAGGTTCTTAGGTTTGATACTTAGTTCTGAGTTGGTGGAACTGTTTGGGAAGGACTAGGAGGTGTGGCCTGGAGGAGGTTTGTCACTGGGGATGGCTTTGAGGTTTCCTAGTATCTCTGTCTCCTGATTGTGATTTGGTTTGAGATGTGAGCCCTTAGCTGTTCCTGCTGCCATGGCTTCACCCTGCCATCATGGACTTCAACACTCTGGAACCATAAGCCCTATTAAATGCTTTCTGTTATTACTCTCCTTAGTCACAGTGTCTTATTGCAGCAATAAAAAAAGTAATAAATACAGTGTCGTAGTTAGGGTTTCTCCTGGTGTGTGATAAAGCAGTGTCTTAGTTAGGCTTTCTATTGCTGTGAAGAGACACCATGGCCATGGCAACTCTTATAAAGGAAAACATTTAATTGAGGTGGCTTCCTTACAGTTTCAGAGGTTCAGTCCATTATCATCATGGCAGGGAGCATGGTGGCTGGGAGTATGGCAGCATGCAGGCAGACATGATGCTGGAGAATTCTACATTTTGATTCAGAGCTAACAGGAAGTAAACTCTCTCTGTGTGTGGCTTGAGCATATATGAGACCTCAAAGCCCATTTCCACAGTGACACACTTCCTCCAACAAGGTTACACCCACTCCAACAATGTCACACCTCCTAATAGTGCCACTCCCTTTGGGGGCTATTTTCTTTCAAACTGCCACAAGCAGCATGACCAAGAGTAACTTCCAGGGGTAAGGGTTTATTTCATGTGGCAGCTTGTAGTCCATCATCCAGAGAAGTCAATGCAGAAAACTGGAAGCAGGAGCTGATGCGGAGGCCATGGAGAAGTGCTGCTTACTGACTGACT